ACAGAATCCTTCCCAGCAGGCGCAGGCAAAAATAGACTGCTACAGTCTCTCCTAGCTTGTTGTTCTTCTTCATCAATAACTTTTGCCGTCTTGACCATGATCTGATGCTGCTTGGCTACATGTGTCCTGGTTTTCATTTGTAAAATGTTGGAGGGTATGCTGTTGATAAGCAGGAGTTGATACTGCTTTATAGACTGGGCCTAGCAAAGTAGATGATAGCTTCTTCTCTATAAATCAACAAACCTGATTTTTGTAGCATTTCGGCAGGCAGCAGATATTTATATTCATACTTCAGAATTCTTGCTCTGCCAAGTTCTAATCTTGTTTTGCCTAGGTCATGTGTGTACATGCTTCACTCAGGTAAAAGAAGTCATCCATTCATTTACTACACCCCAGACATAACACTAGCTTTAGGCTATGAAACTTTAATACTAATGACTAATTTGCTGCCAGTCCCTTCTCACTAGAAAAAGATAGGCAGAGAGAACTAAAACTCATGGTTACATAATGGGAAACAAATGAGGGAGTGAATGAGGCCAAAATATCACTCAGCACATAGGAATATTGTAAATGTGCCACAATACACACACATGTTTGCTTAGTGTGTAGATCCTATCTGGTGATCTGTAACCTGTAGGAAGGTATCAACATGTGTTTCTATATGTGCCAGGTGTGCAGTTCTATGGTGTCATGCTTTCACAAGGATGAAGACAAACTGAAATGAGTTTAGACGATAGCAATGAAGATTTTGCCATGAGTCAAGATCAACTCAAGGGCAGTTAACAACAACTAAAATGAAGATGGTGAGTGGCATGGAAAACAATGTAAACTAAAGTTGAAGGAACTGGGTGTGTTTTATTCTGTATAAGAGAAGCTTATGAGAGAACGTGACAACACTCTTCAAATACAAAGACTGCTTCCTGGTGGAACTTGATGTAACAATGGTGGTTCCTTTTTCCAGCTGGCTGTTATTTCAGTGAATTGGTTTTGTATTAGAAAAAAAATGACAGATATTTGTGTTTGCTTCTGTGCTCTTGAAATATAGTCCTGTGATTTGGAATGTAACTGATGGTCAACATGGTGAGACTCTGCATGTCCCTGCTGTAACAAAAAGCCTTCTCTTTCAAGGTTGGAAGAACAAGTACCCACAATCCATCCTTCAGTGAACAGAGGAATGTTCCACTTTATCTACATATGATCATTTATTTTGCAGAAACAAAGTTCATGTATCTTAAATATTTTTCTGGATGCATAATTTTGTTGTTGTTGGGTGCCTTCAATCATTTCCGACTGATGGCAACCCTAAGGTGAGCCTAAAGGTAAAAGGTAAACCTTAAAGGCTACCTTTAAGGTGACCCTATCATTGGATTTTCTTGGCAAGAGTTGTTCAAAAGAGGTTTGCCATTGCCTTCCCCTGAGGAAGAGTCAAAGCCCGGTCTCCAGAGTCATAGTCTAGCCCACTATGTCATATTGGCTCTGGACATATGATTCGCTTATATTGATATATAGTCCATGTCCTGTTGGTGACATGGACACATGTAACTGGAGGTAATATCCACTAATTTATTGTTCCAGATGCACAAGCAGACTATTCATTAGCCACTTCTCTGTTCAAATACCATTGTTTCTCTTCCCTTTTCTTGGGAGAAGTACAGTGTGGATGGGAGGTAGTCCCCACTGCTCAGTAGCCTCCTTCCTTTGCCCTCTGCAAACTATTTAAGAACCACAGCACCAAGCTCCCT